TTCCTAAATTGTATATTACTTATTTAGATTTTTCTTTTTTTTTATAATAAACAAAAAAAATTGAATCATACTTTGGCATAACCACCTGTTCCTTCACCACTTTCAGCTCCCTTAAAGAAAATGTATTTATTAAATCAAATGAGAAAAAAAAAGAGAACAATTTTACTTTATAATTAAGTTCAAGAAATTCTGCACCCATTGATTGAACTTGTTCCTTTACAGTTGGACGTGTATCAAATGCTCGTACAACGGCACCCTAATTAAATAATAACAACAAAATTTTATATGTTTTATTAAGTAAATGTTGTAGGTAAAAGTAGAATTCAAATGTTGACTATATAATATTAGAAGTTTAATATTAATTGCACCACTCATCAGTGAGAACTGGAATTCCAGTTTTATCTGAGCTAAATTAGAACTCGTCTAGAGAAAATTCATACAAGTAAAATCTGGCGAAGAAACATTTTCAATTGATCAATTACATTCCCATCAAAAGCTAATGGATTGTAGTTTATCTAACATGATAGTTTCAAATGTGACTATGAGGAATTTCCGTAGGTTTTCTAAATTAATAAACTTTTCGTCACACTTTTTCTTTTTGATCTATTCAAACTATAGAGTATATCGAATTGTCTAGAAAACAATTACGTTTTATTGCAGAAAATATAGTTATTTTAATTCATGCAAGATATACAAATTAATATTTTAACATGCAAATCTTCAAGATGATAGTATTTTTGAGCTCATAGCTAGGACTTCTAGTGTAAATAAAAATCTTGAAAACAGTTCGTGCCATTAGACCTTTCTTCTCAAGTTATGTCATGCTATCCAACTGTCCAGCCTATTTATAGAATATCACGAGAAAAATTGCAACAAGGTGTTTATGCCTGAAATTCATCTCATCAAGAACTCTCATGACCCTTATGATACCCTGAAAGTTGTATCTTAAACAAATGTTTCTCTTGTGAGATAGAATGAGATTCAAAAATAATGCAGTTTTTAGTCATACGAAATTTTAAGAAGAAATCCGTTTGACTTGAAACATTTAGGATATTGTAAGATCCATGAGAGCACTTGTTAGGAAGAATTTCATAACTCAAGAATAAAGATCTAATGGAGCGAACCCTTTCAGGAATTTTATCTACACTATAAGTCCTACCTACGAGCTGAGAAAACAAATTTTCTAGAAAATATAAAGAGATTTCTTATGGTCATTTTTTGGAACTAGCATTAATTGATAATCCATAACCTAGTAGCTTTTAGTAAGAAAGCAATTACATTGCCTCGTGAGTAGAATAACTGAAAACTTTCATTCTTTTAATACGAACTTTTACAATTATATGTGTGACTACTTGCTGGATGCGATTCAGACAATTTCTCATTAGACTGTAACGCATACATCTATATTTATACTTACTCCTCAACAAGACCGCAAGACTTTTAGTTTTTTTTTATTACATTCTATCAGAGATGGAATCGATTCAGTTCAGTTTTAAATTTTGAAAACCTGAACCGATCTCATCTTTGCATTCTACCTTTAGTAAAGCACGTGGTTGTATGAATTTATCTTTCGTCAAATTCTAATTTTGCCTACAATACATATCGTTACGGTATAAAATAGAAAGACGAACTATAAACATAAGTTTAAAAATAGCAAAGTTTTAAGCATTATTTGTCGAACAATACATACTTAGTATTTTCTATCATAACTATAAAATCTAATATCTTAACAATATGAAAAAACTAAAACAAAACGTATATAAATACCATATTTCGTGCTGTACCAATTGCACTAAGACCAGCAACACCACCGCCAATAACTAAAATTTTTGCTGGTGGAGATTTTCCAGCAGCAGTTATTTGACCTATTTTAATAGAACTAAAATAATTTAAATAAAATTTCTTATCTATTCTTAATACCAGTAAAAAATCTGCCAAAATTATTTGCTGCTTCAATAACAGCTTTATAACCAGCAATATTTGCCATTGAACTAAGTGCATCAAATACCTTGGTTAGTTTGTATTCAAAATAAAATATATAATAATAAAGTATGTTTTAAAGAAAAACTATACTTGTGCTCGAGAAATACGTGGAATACAATCTAAATAAATAAATAAAACTTTCTAGATTAAATTAAAATATATTTATAAAAATTTACCCATAGCAAAAACAGTTGCATGTCTTTTAGCTAGTTGATCAACTAAAGCTTTATTTTGCACAGGATATATAAATGAAACTAATGTTGACTTTTCTTGAAATATACTAATATCCTATAATAAAATTCTTAGAGATAAGAAAAAAGATGTTCCTTGTTTTCTTTTTTGATTAAACAAACTTCTGGACTTGGTTGTCGAACTTTAAGAATTATATTTGATGTATATGCAGCATTTCGTGAAACAATTTTTGCTCCAGCACTTTGATAATCTTCATTATGAAAAGATGCACCTATACCAGCATTTTCTTCAACATGTAATGTAAATCCTATTTAAGAATTATTTTTTGTTAAATTAATTTAAAGAAAAAAATATATATAAAGACCTTTTTTTACCAGTGTTGATACAACAGTAGGGGTAAGTGCAACACGTTTTTCATTTAGAAATGTTTCTTTTGGTACACCAATTGAAAGTGATTTATATGGTGCACCTGCTATTGCTTTTTTATTCGAAGTAACAGCATCGGCTGCGACTTTTTGAGCTAATTGAGTTGTTGTTGGAGTTGGAGCTGATGATGTTGTACGATGACATAACCATGATATATTATTAAAACGTTTGGTTTTGAACAAGATTTGTTGAGCACGTACTACAGACACCATTTTGTTCTATTTAATAAAAACTAATCATTGACATGAATTCGAAAAAAAAAACAGAAAATTATTCTGTAATCAACATGAACTTCAATTTTTAATCAATATTCTTACGTAGACGTGTATCCTACAGTTAAAGCTAAGCATTCAACATTAAACTTCTTTAAAAACCAAAATTAAGGAAGGACAATGACTTTTGCTTGCTTTTCCGAAAAAACGAATTTTCTTCAATAAACTTTAGGAAAGTTTTCAAAATCCTTATTATTGATGTAGATCAGTTTTCCGCAAATTCGTCTTGAAAAAGCACATTTGTTAGTGTCAAATCCATTCTGAATCGAGAATAATGTATTTTTCAGCAAAATGTCATGGTTCCTCTCAGGAAAACTAAGTTTTGAATTTCTACTTGAAACTTTGCACAGAGATAGACCTTAACAAGAATAGTTCATTGTGAAAGTTTAAGATTTTTCGATGGTGCCTATTCTGAAATAAGAATACCGGATTTTGTTGCAGGATATGAACGACGTGAAAAATGTGCTTTTATCATAACCGTATCTTAGGTTAGAAACAATTAAAAGATTTAAAACTTTTACAATAAACTATTCTTCTTAAGGGCTGCCTCTGTGCAAAGTTTTCACTCGAAATTTGACAGTCCATTTTCTTGGTGTTCCTGATGAGAGGCTATGGTATTCTGCTAAAAATACAATTTCTCGGAAGTAATAAGCTACCAGTCTGAACTCTTTTTAGAATATTCATAACTCGTCAGAACCTATATGATGCACATAGTCCCGACTTACAAGTCATTTGACACTTCGAAACGTTTCCTTATAGTTCTATTCAAATGACAATGATAGTATTACATGAGATAGAGGCAATCCAATTATACGATAAATTGATTTCTTGCGAAAGAATGCCCATCATCGTAAACTAATTGATTTATTAGTTCTAAAATGACGACAAGCTGTATTCAACGAAGCACATATAAATAAAACCGCATAAACGAGCAGAATACTCTAGCAAAAAGAAATGATTTTAGTCACTGTATCAGAAAAACCTCTAAAAACGCACTGATATTAATGGAAACTGGAATAATAATTTCAGCACCGAAAAGTTAAGCACGCAATAAAATGAAGGTAAATGTGACATATATTGAAAAATCAATATATCTATATGGATGTGAGTATTAACTTTTCTCTTCATTGTCATCCGCACTTCGGCGCACGCTCAAACTCACCTCCCAAACCCTTTACCATTACACTTTTTATGTACTAAGCTTTTTCGTGCTGACCTTTCCTTTGCTTATCGGTCACCAATCCATACTCATATACAACGGCTGTCCATATATAATTGACCATAAAAGTGATGCAATAGTTTTTTTTGAAATATGAATAATCAAGAAATTATCCTATCATGAATGTTTAATATGTGGGTGAAGAGAACACTAATGAGGGAGCTGCTGGTCCTTCCCGATCCGACGGACTCTAATATCCATGGTCTTCATGAGAAACTGTCCTAGACGCGGATTCTACAACAAGTTAAATTTGATTTTATAATAAATTCGTCGTGTAACCTAACACAATTTATTCAACTTTTTGTTTTACTTTGTAAATGAATATTGAATAATCTAACATTATCTTTTCAGATTTACATACCGTTTAGTGCCAATAATAGTCACTATACATCATACAAAAATCTAGAAAAAAACATATTATCAATAGTTTTATTCAAAAAAAATGAGCAATTGATTTTCTTCGATAAAAAAAGAAGTGAAAATAACAATCGGATCTTTTCTTCCCGAACTATCCATATCTAGGTTTTTTTTTTAACTGCATAAGCCATTATATATATAGATAGAGATGCATAAGTATGGGAAAGCTCGCTTTGTGAATGATTAAAATAAAAAAAAAGAAAACAGAGAAATAGAGAATAACAAGAAGAATATAAATAGCACTAATACTAGAGAAAAAAAGATAAAGAAACATCAAACAAAACAACCGTATATTTTTTTACTCTTTTTGTCTTTTTTTCTTATTTTCACCATTTTCACTCGATATATTGAGTGAGATTAGTTTTCTCATTTTTTTTGTTTTGTTTTTTCTTTAGACACACATATTGATATGTGTATAAATATATATGTAGATGAATAAATTTTAAGAAAAAAAGAAAAAAAAACAAAGTAAAAAATAATAATCAATTATATTATTGACTACCACGTGATGATTGTCGACGATTATTGCCTGTAGGTATATAACGAAGAGAATTCGAAATATTATTATTGTTGTTCGATGTTCGAAGACGAGAAAACATATCATCTAAACCAACATTATTAGTGCCATTATGTGTCATTAATGAAGGAGGCGATGATATTGGAAACGTACAACTTCCATTTGTTAAAAAATTATATGGTGAATTATTATAGTAATATTGATAGGCAGCTGCTGCTTGCATTTGTAAAGCATATTGTTGTTGTTGTAATTGTTGTTGTTGTTGCTGTTGTTGAGTTTGTATTTGTCGTTGATCTTTTGGGACAGCTTTTTTAACATCAACATGATGTTCACCAATAATATGAGGTCTACTTAAAATAACTTTGTCAACAGAATCAAAGTCTACAAACAAAAATCAAATTTATTTAAAAGATTCTAAATGAGATTATAAGTATATAGAAAAATATAAATCTGATTGTTGTTTCCTGACTCTCTTCTCACATTATCATAGAAGTATCTTTCATTATGAAATATTAAGTATACAATATTTACTATTATAGCTACCGACGGCTTTTTTTTGGATTTCAATTTCGGTCATTACAATAAGCGTGGAACAAGATAAAAACTAATTCTCACATTTTTATTTATATAATAATATAAGAGTCAGAGAAACTAGTAATTTATGACACAAAATTCTTGGCACAAAATATTCGCTTATTTTTCGGGTACTTAAAGACCATTGATTAGAGACAGAAGCGATTAATTAGAATTAGAATTTTTTGCTCTTTCTGAATATATGTTCAAATTTTCCCACTAGCATAAGGCTGGCCAACTATCATTAGATTATTTCAAAATAGTGATTTGGTGAAGTACTATTTTGATTGAAACCTATCGAATTTAAAATCTGAAACGATTTTTAATGACTCACGAGGTAATCTCTCCAGATGTCAAATAGCTTTTTGACCGGTACAATACTTATTTGATGAGTACTAGAGAGTAATAGAAAAGCGTAGAATAGTTTAGTTTTCCGGATCTTCGTTCTCGAGATATCGAAATTTTACTGAGCTTTTCAACAAAAGGCTGTGGTTCCCTCAGGTCACTTTCGAGTTTCGACTTCAGACCTTGCACGAACAAAGTTATTAATCAAATTAGTTGATTATGCAACTTTTAGATGTTCTCTATTATGATGTAAATATATGAACAAAATTCACTTTTATACATGAGAGAGTTTCGAATAGAGACTATCTTGGATTAAGAAATACTGATAATTCGTCCAATGATCTAATCTCATGGAAAATTTTGTTCGTGCAAAGTTTAACATCGAACTCGAAAAGACTTGGTGAAAGGTCAGAGCTTTTTCTTGAAAAATCTGGTAGCATTTCGACTATAGATTATATCCCAAACAAATAAAATAATCTAGAGCTCTTGAATAATTTACCATCAAATTCAAGAAATGCAAAACCACGTGTTTTTCCATCTTTATCATGCATTATAAAACAATCATTAACATGACCAAATTTTTCAAAATATTTTCTTAATGCTTCTTCATCAAGTCCATCTCGAATGCCACCAATAAAAATTTTTTTAACTGTTAAATGAACTTCATCATTATTAGCTTCTTCGCGTGGCACTTGAAATGAAAACAAAAGAAATTCAAAAAACTTATGTCGATGAATTTTAAATTTCATACTTGCTCGTTTTGGATCAATTTGACGACCATCTAGTGTATGTGGTCGTTGTTTCATAAATTCATCTATCGTTTGAGGATCAGTAAATGTAACAAAACCAAAACATCTTGATTGACCGTTTTGATCTTTCATGACTAATGAATCACTTACTTCACCAAATTTTGTTACATATTCTTTTAATGTTTCATCTGTGGTTCTAAAATTAAAAATTTCTTTTCAATTTTCGATTTTATTGTTTTCTATGAAAAATTAACTACATAGAAAAAATTCATTTTACTCGTGTTAAACATTTATTTCATCGTCAAACTGTAAAATTTATTAATAGTTTCCACAACATGAAAAGTTTTGTTCATGAGAGAAGATCTTCATTTAAAATTGGCTCTATGTCAGTTTATAGAATTCGCTAAGCATATCATGATGACATAAAGCATTCTTCCTTATTGAGTGTTTTTGAGGAGTAATGTCATTATTAACTTCATAAAAATTATTGTAAGCTGTTACTTCGAAAATATTAATTTTTATGATAGCTTAATTCTCAGCATCTTTACTTTAAAAATATTTCAATACTATCAATTTTGTCAATGTACGGAATTCAACTCTTTTTTTAAGTCTCGTTTTCGATAGCCTGTATTCTATTTTGTTGTTTTCTCGAATATTTATATGACACACTACAAGAGATAAAGCAGGTCATTGAAACATGATCAGCATGTTTTTTTTTAATATTATTCCTAAATTGATGAACATACAATTGAAATTAAATAAATTTTAAACAAAATGGATTTCGTGCATCCACAATATTAATAGTGTTGAAATATTCGAAGTATGCACGTAGCTAGGATTCTTATTTATGTCAATATGTGAGCGTGTACAGTCAAGCAAGACACATCCAGTAGTAAGTAATGGAGACAAAAAAACTTATAGGTGAAGCTCAGTGCCCGTTTGAAGCCGAATAGGAATAGAGATCTACATCGCTGTCCCAAGCGTAATCGTGATGTAGTTGAATAAATATCTGGAGGAGCTCAATGACTTCTGTATGATGCTGAATCTCTCCGACCGCTCTTTGATTCTGCCACTAACATTAAAATTAAAATTTCCGAAATAACAACTTACAATCATTTTCTGAAGTTGAGATCAGCTTTACTTCTCATAGACATTCAATGGAGAAGAAGGCTTTATGGTACAGTAAGCAGCTCATCAGTCTCTGGAAACTGGCATAAAGCCGATTGAAAATGGAAGATGTTCCCTTGTCAGAGAAAATAGTTTATCAGACTTTAGCTTTTATTAATGGAATTCCTATTACTCAAAATAAAGCATAAATATCGATAGGAATTGTTGTTATTTAACATTGATTGACGATTTTTATCACATAATAAACCTTCTTGGTTCACATAGTTATGCTAATAAAGACATACATGACTTAAGCAAAACAAACGAAAGGCATGACTAATTGATTCAAGCAATTTCTTAACTGTAAAATCTATTTCGATTCGAATATTTTGATAGTTTCTTATAGAAACTTACTTGAAAGACAATCCACCAATAAATAATTTTCGATGTTGTTCAGAATTAGGATCATTTGTTGTGCTACTATGATGCATTGAACTAGAATATCAAAACAATAATTATAACATTAATTAGGCAGCCTAAAATCTTACCGTGATTTTGATTTAATCGGCGTAGCACCATCTGAAATTCCTGTTGTAACAATGTTTGATTGACGATTGCTTAATGAATCATTGGATTCCGATGTTAAGTCATTACTCATTTTGTTTTTCGTTTCATTTTGATTTTGTGTATTATTATTTGTTCGTGTTGAAGATAATGTTGATGGTGGTGGTGGTGGTGGTGGTGGTGGTGGGGAAGAAATAGTTTGATTACGAAAAAAAGCACTATTTGTTAAATCCGGTGGTAAAATAAATGTCGTAGGAGGTAAAACACCTGACTGAGGACAAGAATTAGTTGTTGTTGCTGGTGTTGTTCCCATTAATGGCATTGGTTTTGATAAATAATTCGATGGAGGAAGATAAGCATAAGGTGAAAATGCAGGAAACGATAATGTTGGATGATTAATCATTAAATGTGTTGGATAACGATTTTGTAAATGATAAAAATCAGTATTTAGATTATGACTATTCATATTATTATTTAAAATAAAACCATTCATACGTGAAGTTTGTTCACGTGGTATTGCTTTTCGTACATCTAATTCTTTACCATTAATTCTATGAGGTTTTTCAAGTATGCAACGATCAACAGAATCATAATCATCAAATGTTATAAAAGCAAAACCACGAAATTTATCTATTTAAATAAGAAGTTTTTTTAAGCAAAAAAAAATCATAGACGACTAGAGATGTGCGGAACTAAGCTTTTTTTGTTTTCGATCATGGTCATAGTCCCCGTAAATTTGGTGTACTCCTGATCCCGACAACTTCTTTTCTAGTGATTCTAGTCCCGATCCTGACCTTGGCTCAAATCTTGAGAGACATATTACAGATTTTGTTTCTATGAAATCTAAAATAATTCTTCAATACTGGTTTGTTGATTTATTTAGACAACAACAAGTAATTTTTTTCGATCGTCTCTCTTGAATTACGTTCTAATTTATATGACTTATGAAGTCATTTATTTAAAGCAATTTCCTGTAAGCTTGAATTCTGGTTTCGCACATCTCTATTGATGACTGACAAACCTTCTTTAGTTTTCATGATTTTACATTCAATAATATTGCCAAATGTTTGAAAATAAGATCTATATAACAAAAAAAATAATTCTAATTTTTAGTTTAAAAAAATATTGTTTTTGAATTCACTTAAGATCATCTTCAGTTAATTCGTCTTTAATAGCACCAATAAAGATTTTTTTAACTGTTAATTGCCCTTCAGTTTTTAATGTTTCTTCACGTGGCATTGCACGTTTTGGTTCTATTTGTCGACCGTCTATGATATGTGGTCGATGTGCCATAAAATTATCAATCATTGCACGATCTTTTAACATGTATAAAAAATATTCAAGCTATTCAAATAGAATTTATTCTACTGAACAAACCTTTAAAATTAACAAAAGCAAAACCTCGTGATCGACCTTCACGATCACGCATAATCACACATTCAATTATTTCACCGTACTTTGAGCAATATTCCCTAGAAAGTTTTTTTAAAGATCAAACTATACAAAAAAAAATTTTTTTTTTTTGTTCTTTTACTTGAGTTTATCATCTGCAGTCGTATAACTTAAACCACCAATAAACAATTTTCGATATTGTTCATCAGAATTATTTATAGAAGATTTTTCATCTTCACTAGCAGAAGGATTTGATGTTAATGAGGGAGATTCTATGTTATCGACAATTGATGAAGCCATTCTTATACTCTCTAAATCAATAAATAGAAAAATGATTTCTAATTTATTTTGAACGAATGAAAAGAATCAAAATATTTACCCAAATGATCTAACTAAAATATAACTAACTTTTCTACACTTTCTACTAAAAAGAAAATCTGAAAAAGAAAAACAAAATTTTATCAAATTCATTGAATAGACATCGAACTAGTTTCAAAAAAAAGTATTATGTATCATTTGCTACTTCTTTTTTTGTGTTATTGTTCAATTCCAGGGATACAACAAACTAAAACGATATAAATAAATTTTCGTTTAGAAAATAAATAAAAGAATAACTTTTTTTCATCTAGACATCGACGCGGTTAGAGATTATTTTGTCTTTTGTTCTGATAAGAAAAATGAATATGCATTAAATGTTGTCTTACAAAACAAAGATTAAATAAAAGGACATTTGCTAGTTCTTATTTTGTATTGGATAGGCAATATTATTTCTTTTTGTGGCTTAACTAACTTTGATACTCAATAAACAATGAGCATCTTCCGTCGTTTGACGAAGATAAACAAGAACAACTGCTTTTTTAGCTAGCCAAATAGAAAAAAAATTGTGTCTCAAAATACATGAAATCTTCAACAGAACAAAAAATTAGTTGCAAACAATTTCTGAGAATTTGTAACTGATTATACTAGGCCTCATATTGGTTTTAAAATTAGATTTTCTCATAGTTGATAATTATTACTCTAGTTTTATGATATTTCACTGAAATCACAAACATATCTATTTACAAGTAATAGAATAAACTATCAAAATTTCAATTTATTAATGCAACAAAAGAAGTTGATGACTATGGAAAATAAAAACCGATATCAAAATCTCGGTTTCACTTTATGCAACTACAGCCTACTTGTAGAATTAAAGTTCGAAATGGGAGTGTACAAAAGATTGAACAAAGAAGTTTTCAATAGTTAACATCAAGTTCTTCCTATACCAATTGCATAGAAATGTAAATTTTTACTTTAAATAGTATGCTGATCCCTTAATACTAAATCACATTAATTTCTACCGACAGTAATAGACACATGATTTCCAATTTAATCCATCTAGGGATAGAAACAGAATAAGCAATTTTGAAAACAACTTAAGACTTACTAAATACTTATTTTCTTTCTCATCCATTAGTTTTTCTATATTTGAAATATCAATAATAATAAATTTACGCTTGAAATGTTTTATCGACTTTTTTATTTTATAATCTTATTTTCGTCTGTTCAATAATAAAACAATTATGTAAATATTTTCGACGATTCTAAAATAAAATTATTTGTTTTTTTTTTTTTTTTGAATTTATGAAATACAAAACAGACAAACTAACCTATTATCAAATAGAAGATATGCATATTCTTTTGACTTTTTATCATAGAGTATATACAAAACTAAGTTAATATTAGCTAAACCCTCGATATAAACATATCAAATTATAATACCAATTATCAATATATATAACTCAAATCTCTTAAAATCATAAAAAAAGAAATAACTACGTATATAGAAAACAATGTGTATACAAATCTGAAAAAAAAAACAAAATAAGTAGACGTTATTAGTTGTTTATTTATTTATTTGCATTCAAGAACAGCTGTAGTAAACGATAATCATCAAGTTATTCGAGAGGTACCGACAGATGGCAGTGATGAATGATCTTATTATCATCAAAATCTGTTTTATTCAAACATTTATAATAATATATTTGATTAAAAAAGAAAAGAACTATTGTTTTTTTAAATTAAAAAAAAAAATGATCTATTAAATCAATCAAATAAAATTTATAATTTTGATTTAGATACTTACATCTTCGAAAGAGAAATATCTGTTTTAAAATTGTCAATAAATGCAATTAAACATTAATTTTATTTCGACTTAAAATAATATTCAGATGATTAACAATATTCATTCGACATTGTATGCTATATAATAGATGTCTTTTTTTCTCTATCTTGAATCAACAGGATAGTGATGACATTTTATGAATGATATTAATATGTAGCAGCGTAATTGAAGTTGATGCAGTTCAAGGGTCGCCCTTCCATCAGTAAAAGAAAAGCTTAATAATGGCTGTCATTGACATTATCTTGGATGCTATTTTTGAAAAGACTTCATACATTACCCTACCGCCCACACCATCCATAAATAGTTTTACGACAAAAAGTTTGAATATCTCCATTCTATGGGACTGGTTTTTTTTCTCAATAAGAACTTTATGGTCTTACAGATCACAAAATAAATCATGAATTTTGAAAAATATATTCTTCAGAAACATCTACAACACGAGCACCAGCAATGGTAACCAATATATGTGATCCAAAGTAACGGGTGATGCATAACTAATGGGAGAGAATTTTGTCCTCTTTTTTTCTGGGAGGGGGGGCACTTCTGAACACATTAAAGATTTTGTTTTAAACTCATTCGATACAAAATTTCTTACTTTACAAAAATACTACCTTTTTTTGTCATCGCCTCAATCATTCAGCTGCAATTTGTATCAGGACCGATGCTAAAACTACTTGGCATCCATGGATAAAGAATTTCATGCTCACTGATTGTAGGATCTGTTCAAGGTTTCTGCTGCTACTGTTCAGAAGAAAAAAAGCTTTGAATCAACATCTAATAGTATCTTGGGACGCATTCCGAAAGACCATGTTTTTCAAAGCAAGGTGTGATCTATAACACGTTTGTTATCATCCTGCCGGGTGTAGAATTTAATCCTAAACAAAATGGTATGATGATTAAATTGAAGAGTAGAAACATTAGTTTATATCAAATTAGAAAAGAACAATGAGGTAATTCTGCTAGAGAAGAAAAGCCTCTATCGAATGAGACTCAAACAAAGTCCGTGATGTGTTGGACAGGTCCTAAAAACAGAGAAAAGCAGTTAGCCATGTTTATTATGAACTAGCTGTTAACTCTCACTCTTACTTGATTGTATTTAAGAAAAGACAGATATCGACATGGTCAACCAACATTAACCCATACATTGTGTGGTTAATTGTGAACTCTAAAGTGAAGCAAGTTGAGTCTATCGAAAATTTTTCTTCGAGAGAACAACTCGAAAATTCGTATAAAAGATGGTAGTAAAATACATCATCAAGTAAGAATTTTATCAGCAGAAAACAAATTCTGTAACTAGTTATTAATCGATCGAATACCAAGTACGTTTTCAACCAGTGACCTTTTACGTTCAAAATACATCTCTATTTTTGATAAAATTCCATAATGAACAGTAGTTTTGATTTGTTATTCGATGCAATTATGCTTATTAAAAAATGACTTCATATTCTGAAAACTTGTTAAAAACTGAACAACTTTTGTATACAAAGTTTATTTGTATGTCGCTTTGTTTCGTAGTTAAATGCCTAAACTCTCAGTTTTGGTAACAAAAAGGTTCGATTTTTTTAAATCCTATAACGACCGACATTTTCTGAGTAGCTCAGCTTGAACTAAAAAAAAATCTATGAAATGTTTACTGCAAGTAGATCAAAATGATGTCTATCGATAATCAAAGTTTCAAATAATTTGCTTCTACCATTGACAAGAAATAGATGTTACAATGTAAAAAAATGAAACTTGTGACGTTGAGCCATGTCAATATCCATATCGACAGCGAGACAAATCAAATAATCACGTATTGCACAGCGAAACACACGACCAAATACATTCATCGAAGGGCAAATGTTTGCCTATATGTATCTGTTAGAATTCTCTTCAATGCTGTAAAGTTTAGAAATTCATTGTTGAAGTCAGTGATTATATTTCAAAGCAATATTTAAAAATGTTGTTCTTTTAGAAAGAAAAAAGCTTCTGAAGTATCCGCGCCCACTCTGAAATTTCTTTTGAATAATCAGAACAAAAATATTGAAATGATATGATATAGTATCATACACATATTTTTATTTTTCTTGACCTTGTATGAATAAAAAAAATCTAACAGATGGAAATATTCTCACAAATGAAATTCATATTCAATGCTGTTTTCACAAATAATACCATTCATTTAGTGAAAATTTCGATGCAAAAAAAAGATATGTAGACATCATAGAAGGTAAAGCAAATATTGAATTTTGTATATAGACTTTATTTTGAAAATTTTTATTCAATAGAAATAATTAATCATGACGAATAATGATCTTCGACGACGACGTAAAGAAGATCAATCGTCTAAACCGGTTGAACATAAATCTAAATATTCAAAAAAAACTTTTAAACAATATGTGATTATATTTGGTATTCTTATTATTTCATCCGTTCTATTATTCACTATAGTGAATCAATTAAAAAATTTTTTCATACATGATGAAACATCATATGATAAATATTATCCGTCTGAAATACTCTATCTATTTCGAAAACATGATCGAGATAATGATAATTATTTATCCTTGGATGAATTTGAACCTATTGCTAGTCAATTAGGTCAAAAAAAAGTTCCAACTGATTATATTCAACCAATATTAAATACGGATCAATTAATAACAATAAATGCTTTTTTTGAACCATTAAATTTTTCAACAATGACTAAAGATTTTCGTCATACATATCTTGTATGTTTATGAAGTATCTTTGATGTTTTATGTATTTAATATTATTTGTTTTTATAGACTAATTTAGATGAATTTCAATCATTAAAATTATGGAAACAACCTTATATTCCTCGTTTAAATTTTGCTGCACGTCATTTTAAATCATTTTTACCAAAAAAACCAATTGAAATTGGTAAACCATATTGGATTATTGAAGGTAATAAACAACAATTTGTTGAACATCTTCCAGCTAATCGGTATGTAATTACAGTTCTTTAGAAAATAATTTAAAAAAAAATAATTTTGATAGATATTATCCACCGGATGTTTCACATGAACATATTATTTTTCATCGATTACTAAGCATGTTTCATCCACGTCCATTCATTTTTACTCGGTTTCCACCACAGGGCACTGTTGCAGTTGTTCGTGCTCGTCATGGTTCACTTCTTGATATTTATTTTCGGTTTGTAATTTCTTTTAAAAATCCAAAAGAATATTTATAACCTGTCTTGACTGATAACTAGAGTTTTAATTTTGCTGATTGGTTAGGATCCATTGTGTAGGTAAAAGTCATAAGAGAACTTGTTCCATTAACGCTTACTTGAAAATCTCACAGTCTTCGTAATATTCTGTAATAGATTGAAAATGCAATGAAACGGTCATAATTCGAGAAGAAAATGATAATGGGACCCGTGCTCCTAAAATTTTTATCGGTAGTTAGGTTAGAGTCAGAGTTTCGTGTTCGTTTCGAATGTCGATGCAAATTTTTTTGTAGGACTTTTGGTTTAGGAATTATGAGCGGATCTTTTAGAGACTCGTAAATTAACTTTGGAGAAATTTTAGCACGTCAAAAATTGCCCAAACTAGAAGTGAAAATTATTTCAAGTACAACGAATGAAAGAGTCAACATTTCTCTATAAAATGTTATACTGACAATTAGTTTGTTCCAGATCATTTGTTAACAATGAGTATTTAGGTAAGGAACATCATGTCAATTTAGGCACTTTTCTTGATTATCTATAGGANACTAGAGTTTTAATTTTGCTGATTGGTTAGGATCCATTGTGTAGGTAAAAGTCATAAGAGAACTTGTTCCATTAACGCTTACTTGAAAATCTCACAGTCTTCGTAATATTTTGTAATAGACTGAAAATGCAATGAAACGGTCATAATTCGAGAAGAATATGATAATGGGACACCTCCTCTTAGAATTTTTATCGGCAGTTAGGTTAGAGTCAGAGTTTCGTGTTCGTTTCGAATGTCGATACAAATTTTTTTGTAGGACTTTTGGTTTAGGAATTATGAGCTGATCTTTTAGAGACTCGTAAATTAACTTTGGAGGAATTTTAGCACGTCAAAAATTGCCCAAACTAGAAGTGAAAATTATTTCAAGTACAACGAATGAAAGAGTCAACATTTCTCTATAAAATGTTATACTGACAATTAGTTTGTTCCAGATCATTTGTTAACAATGAGTATTTAGGTAAGGAACATCATGTCAATTTAGGCACTTTTCTTGATTATCTATAGGAAGCTGACCTATAAAGTGCGCTGGAATATTCCTGAATGTTGTTCTGAAACGCTTGAGTCTTATATCATTTTAGAAAGAACATTCTTAACTTCAACTATATACCAAAAAATCGATAATATCACATATGTATGAATGGAGACATTTCGGAGTGAACACACAATTCGGATTTTAAATGAATGATTTCCAATATCTGTAGACTCTTTTCGTCTTCATTCTCTGATATAACGAAAGAAAAAAAAAGACAATTACAAATATTTTCTGTTATTGTTTTTTTTCTCCTAGAATTCATGCAGAATTTCAACTTAATACACCACCATATCATCCATTTTGGTACATACCAGGTCTATTTCAAGGTCGTTTAATAATACGTGATGATGCTTCTGAATTAACCTATTTTCAAATGTATGTTCCAACCGACAAACGACTAAATGTTGGTAAATATTTTTATTTCATGACGTTTATTATTTATAAAATTTTTCGAAAAAACCTATTTTCTTGTTTTTTTTTTCAAGATATGGAATGGATAGTAGAACGTGGTGGTCCATCAACTTCAATGGAAGTTGATATAGGTTATATGTCTCAAATGGAATTACGTTCAGCCGCTCCATCAATTAATATGAATGAAACAGGAATAACATCAGAGCAATTTATAACATCAATGAATGAAAGTTTATATAGCAGTTTATTAAAATCATTTAACACGATCGATGACAATTTCGAGAATGAAAAAGAAATATTTGATTTACTTGAAAGGAAATTTTACCCATTTAAAGAAGTAATTTTATTTATTTTTTTTTTTTGACTATTATTCTAAGCAGATGTCTTTTTTTCTATTAGATTCCATATTATGAATATCGTCAAGCATTTAAAAAAGCTGAAGAAACGAATAAATTAGTTCATATAATTGTTCTTTGGGGTGCACTTGATGATCAATCATGCTGAGGTTCGGGCCGAACTTTACGAGAAACAGGTTGAAGAAAGCATTTTAAAAAATAAATTTCTAAATAATAAGATTTTTTATTTAGTTCTCGAAAGTTCGGCCGTTTTAAATTTATTGCGTGAATACTTTGTATCAACATGGGCATTAGTTGTCGATTTAAAAGTAAACTCATTGTTGCAAAAAAAAAACACTTAAATAATTATTCTTTTTATTTAGGCAATCATATCAAATCAAACAAATGATGCGATTAAAGATTCTCAACGTGCTAAGCAAGCTCTTGATAATTACGCTTTTCCAGTTGAATCACTTATACAAAAAATTGATGGTACTGTTATCAGTAAACTTAATGCAAATGATTTATTAGATACACCTTCAAAAACGGAAGAATTTCTTAATAAGTAAATTCTTTTTTTTGATAAATTTATTTTTGTACTTTTTTTTCTTTCTTTTTAAGAGTTTCTAATGGGAGGGATATAACAATACAACGATATGTTCATTTTTTAGAAGAAGCCCTTAATCGACAAAAATAATCACTTGATTCATAGATATTTACATCAATATTAACTCAATGACAAAAAATTAAATGATTGCTAGACTTGAAAGGATATTAATCAAAAGTTTAGCATGAATGTATTTGTCTGATTTAATAAAAGATGAATATTATATAAATCAATTGAAGTTGATACCTTTGTTTTTTAAGAATAAGCGCAAATAAAATTACATATAAAAAACAAAAACTTTTATTGACAAACATGTAATTCAAAAAAAACAACTGTCGTAAATAACGGTAACAGTGTTTTCCTAGAAGAACAATTAAATCCAATGATCGACTTTATATAACTGCTGATACGAGGTCTCGATATGAGGCAGGCTAGAATGGGTCAACTCTCCTCTTCCACCTTTTACGTCGTGTCTGCAAAAATTTTGATATATCATCGGTAAAACATCAATCAAGTTTAAGAAAACACCTTTTCTCAGTTACTTCCCACTAGACAGACTATCTTCGATTGTCTGCCAAATTTGTAGCTCTTTGTACTTCTAAAAACTATCGAAAGCACTGCTACTGGTGTAAATATGTGTTGATCCATTGATTATTTCCAATCCATTTTAAATTTCGACATATTTGTGTAGTATCTTCAGTTTGGATCATTCGCTATACTAAATACACGATGTTACCATGCGTTTATGTGATTTGCTGTTAACTAACAGGCTTGAAAAAGAAGTATTGCCTTATGTAATTGACCAGAACTATTTTAAAACTTACAACAACTGTCATGGAAATAATATTAAGAGCGTAGCAAAAGTAGTGGCGCGGGCATCGTAATAGTGTATAGAAAGGTTTACGAAAACTTTCAATACGTACTGATAATAAAAATAATGCTTTATATTTTTCCAATTTTCTATTGTTTTTCAACTAATATTATAATAATAAAATTTTGATAGGAGTTGTTTGGTATGACATGTGACGATAGTACTTAAATACTTTGACTAACTTATGATATAACCAAGATAGAAAGTCGCGAGTTTCATCTTTAGAAAAAGGAGATAAAGATGCATCAAATGGAATATTAGTTTTTTCCACAGTTTTCAATTAGCTTTTTTGAAAACAAATTTCTTCTTTGAATGTTTGCAGTAAATTTTCAATTATCAAGTGTACATCCAAGCTGCTGCACATCGGAGACCTACGAAACTACGCAAAGCTCAGATATTTAGATTTCTCCATTTAGCAATCTTTTCTAGTGACTCTTGTTTTAAAAAATTATTGGATTGCTTTTTTTCCTTGAGATACACCGACGATCCAGGAATTAGAAATTGTATAGTAGTCGTAGCATACAGTAGGGATGTGGATGTGGACGATGAGAACATAACACTCACACTGTCTTCATTGAGTATATCATTGCTCGCAATTCAAACTTACTGGCTCCGTATTTCTTCGATAGAAAAATCTTATTGCCAAGTATATTTCTCTATGAAAACATTATCGTTCAAATGTCTTTTTCTCTGTCATTGTCTTTCAAAAATCATGGAGTCAGTGGCGTAGCCAAATATAATTCAATTAATTTATTTCTTTTGTAGCTTTAAATTTTGATTTAAAAAACATAATATAAAGAGGAAAGAGAAAGTCCAGTAAATCAAATCAATTATGACCTTCCTATAATAACTCGCATTGAAGAACATTAATTTATGCCAAGCATAGCCATTCTAAAGGAAAACCATGCAAGGAGACTTATTTATGATGACGACAAGTCAGAAATATTTTTAAAAAGACATTTTTCAAAGGACAGTTAATATCTAATTCTTCTAATTAATCCAATCAAAAATATAATATTTTTTGGAGCATTTGATGTAATAAAAAATTCAAAATTTTAAAGAAAATCCAGTAAATTCAAAAAACAAATTAAATATGGGTAAGCCTTTGTATGATAATCTTTGATACAAAGCAAACGTCCTATCGTTAGAAATATATGGATTGTCCTTGTAGTGCACATTATTTGTTTTTGTTTTTTTTGTTGACTACAATTTGAAATCATTAGGTGATGAGGTAAATGATCATTCGAACTGTCAAGAAAAATGCAAATTGTATCAATCAAAAGCGCAATGGTAATACCGTGACGGATAAGGAATGAGAAAAGAAAAAAACATGTGATGATGCAGAATACTCTTTTTTCAATTCACATGGAGTATTGATGAAATGAAATGACAAAATAATATTAAGCAATTTTTAATTTTAGCTTTCATTTGATATATTCTGGACGTCATTCTTCTTGTTTTTATGAAAACAATCGCAGTGAATTAGCCTATGAGGATAGATAAGATTCAGTTATGTTTTCTTTTGAACAAGTAGGTTTCAAAGCTTAAAAAACAAGATTTTTGCAACATAATACTTGAAGGTATGTATGCTCTTCGCCGAAAAACGCAACATCGAAAATATTTTTTGGTCATGAACGGCGCTGCAAAGGTGAGGGTGAGGGCAAAATGAATTGATCTTGTCATGCTTAACAAGTCTATGCAGGAATTAACGGGCTCGCAACGGTCTACAGCATTCCCGAGCCTTTCGATGAAATGCTTTTCGGTGAAGAGGCATACAACCTATAGACATGTCTACACTCTAAAACTGAAAAGATTTCAATAGGCCATTTTTTCTTTGCATTGCTGCTTGTGTTCTCTCAGTATCACTAAAATGAATCATTTTGAAAAATATACAAAATAAAACAAAGCAATGCATAAATAAAATATAATGTGTATACAAATGTTATTGTCTTCATCACCTATACAATGACATTCAAATTTATACTTAATAATGCAAGAGAAAAAGAAAAAGAAATTTTTTTCCTTGGGAGAATACAGGTTGTGTATACTGAGTTAAAAACGCTGATGTTATTTAATTTTTCAATTATACTTTTCTTTCTAACTGGTTTGTTCAGTCGTAATATTAAACTAGACAAAACGGTAAAGAAAAACATGGAAGAAACCCATGTCGCCTCTTTTTACCAACTGCCTCGCAGTTACATGCAGAGTAAATTCTGGGTCGCAGTTGCGCGTAACTTCGATGGCACTGTGACCCGCAATTGAAAAAAATTGGAACGCAGTTTTACTACTCGTGTGCGTATTAAACAAATGAAAGAAGATGGGATTTTTCGTAAACAAATTAGAAAACGACTAAATTGTAACCGTGACACTCTAATAAAATGGAGAAATATTGGTTTTGATAATTCAAGAACATTTCTTGATGGTATTCAAACTGGTAGACCTGAAAGTCCAAGAAAAATTGAAAAAGCAGTATTAAAAAAATGAAAAAACAAAAGTTTTAGTTGAAGAAAAGTCGGGCTATAATTGGGTATAAGTCATACAACAGTGCAAAATATATTAAATGATACTGAATTAAAATAGAAAGTAAGACCAACAGCAACAAAATTAACTGCTGATCATAAACAAATATAAAGATCAAGATTTGTCATGATGAGACAAAATTTTAGTCACTGATTCAAATTTTTTTTTTTGTTAGCTAGTGGTCGTAATCCAAAACATCATAAACAATGGGTGTATGATAGTAAAGAATTAGATTTATGCAAAGTCGAAAAATATGTAAAAGGATTACATGTTTTTATGGTGATATGACAAGTAAAGGATTAACACAATTAGTTTTTATTAATGGCACTATTGATGGTAAACGATATGTGAATGAGATATTACCAACTTTAACTGATGTGTAAAGAAGAACAGAAGAAACTGATGATATTACAACAAGAGCATTATTTGATGATAATGAAGATTGGATATTTGAGCAAGATCATGCAAAATATCATGATAATACTGTTGCTCAAGAATATTCAGTCCAAAATGTTCCTGAGTTTTTTGATTAACATGACACTCATGCAAAAAATGGACGACGTCTGGTGGGTTGAACGTATATGGACAGTTATGGCGAATAAGGTTTACGAAGAAGGCAAAAGCAACCGAAATTGTTACTCGAATTAAAAAGACGAATAATTAAAGCATGGAAATCATTCGATTTAAAAATGTTTGAAAAAGGTTGTGCATCAAATGTCATTAAGAATGAAAGAAATTATAAACAAAAAAGAAGGTAGAATTAGTAATTTTAAACAACACTGTAAATGTCAATTATGTATAGAATAAATATATGATTGTTTTCATTGTACAGTTGCCCTGTTAGTATTTGTTGTCAAAAAAATAAAAATGAATATTAAACATGACAGATATCTGTTTCATATTCTTATTTTTCAATATTAAAGAATTGTTTTTTCGAGAACCAAAAATGAATGTAAAAAATTCATTTCTTGACCCTCTCTTACTTCTTGAGTTAGAACTGTTATTTTTACCCAATAAATATACTTTCATATGCTCTTTAAAATGAATATTTATTTGTTTCAATTACTTAAATGACTGCAAAAATATATCGATTACAAAAGGTCGGAGAACTTTTTTCCATATCTTATTTAGTATTAAGAGATGCTACTGTATGATACTCACTTTTCTACTTTCGTTATTATTGATTTTTCTTATTCTCTTTGATCTTCTCCGCTCTTGTTATTGTTGTTGTTGTTATCAATAATGATTTTTTCTTTCTGAACTATTTCTCACATTTTATCATTGTATAAATATTTTTAGTTGCAAATTAAGATTGTTTTATTTTCTTTCAAAACGAAGCATCACAACGATAAAATCAGTGGTATTTATCTCAATATCATGAATATCCGTTACGAGAGCTTGCCTTCTACATGAGCTCTCATTCTGTGCAGCAGACAATACCGTTGAAGTTTATATAATTTAGACTGAATAATATACAATGATAAAAGACTTTGATATTTTTTTTCTACAATGGGAAGATTTACATTGATATTCAAAACGCTGAAGTACAATTACAGCTTTCATATACAACAAAATAGTTGATCTTCATTTTATATTCATTAATCTGATCATTAACTTACGTCAACAGCTATTCGATAATTATTATGGTAATAATATATATTTCGTACTACAACAGTCACAAAAGTAAAAGTGAATGATT